TTCCGATAACCCGGCCGAGCCGGGCCCCCACATTGCCGCTGCCACGTGCCCCGTCATCACCTCTGCTTCCGAATCCGCCGTCCACATTTGCCGCTCTCCGCGGTGCTGCCAACGGCAGCGGCTGCACCCATGTTTTGCTCTCGTCGTTGCTCATTTTGTCTATCGTGCTCACTCCACAGTTCCCACCTTTCTCCTTATATAAATCACGACTACAACTACCGTGAGCTACCATCGCTACCATTCGCCGAGTTAACAACATCTGTGTAAATTACACAATGGTCGGCTTCATTTCACGAGCCCTACGCATGGTGGGTTTGGAGAACGAATATTCTAATATTGAACGTGTTATCAGAATAGACATGAAAATAACATTTAAAAAATGTATTATTAAAATAATACATATAAAATAAATGCATTTTAAGATAAAATAGGAAAGGAAGTAAATAACTTAACCAAAAGATGAATTGGAAATTTTAAACTAATTTCCGACTTCATTTTTGTCTGACAAACACGTTTATTAGGATATCACCATGTATCATCCGTGGCCTCGTCAAAGGTTGCACGATTAGCAACACAATCGTTACCACCACTGACATCATCGTCACTGTCAACACAACTACTACCACCATATCATTGTCAGCACAACTACCTCCATATCATTGTTACAACCACTAACAACACCTTACATCGTCGCTATTTAAATATCCTAATTCAGTTTTCGTATTTGCTGTTCCTGATTATGCTAACTTAACTAATTCACATTTTTAGTCATACTCGTTCTCATCATCATTAAACATTTTTTCATGTTGCAATAATCCAAACTCAGAAAAATACTCGCATTATCTATTAATACACTATTAATTAAAAACTGACTGGCACCAATTTTGCATTACGAAATTATCAATCAACAAATCAATTACAAGAAATATCCACATTGTGTAGTAATCATTATTTTAAAGTTTCCAAACGCACATTATGCTTATATTTTGTCCCTACAAAGAGAAACATTCTGAAATGTTTAACTTTATATTTTCCCATACATTGAAGATCCAAACTTTTCACTCCCGCTGAACAATGCAAAAGATGTATTTTTTGTTTTCTTGTATTGCCTTCACAATCGTCACCTCTGGCATGTGTCGTGCCTCTTCCTGTCGCTGACTCCAGTGCTCTCTTCCCCCTCCACTGCTGCCATCACCATCTCCACCTCCACCATCGCGTGGATCCCGGTGTGAAAGTGGGGATATTCGGTTACGGACCAACTCCCAACCGATAGATGTAACGAGGACTTTTTTTGACGGAAGACCATGATTCCGCGATCGGATTTACTGAGTTAGTAGTTCACAGGTTTCCGATTTGGGGTCTTTGCCATTGGGACAGGCAGGTTAAGTTATTTTCGTTGAATAATGAGGTTAAATCTGTGACAGCAACCCAGTCAAGTTTAGTAGGTCAAAAATTGGAACGAAAATTATATCACTTCTGCTCCTGGTGGGGTGAACCTAAGTGAAACCTCCTTTAATATTGTTAAAATTTGGTTTCAAAACGTACACTTTTAAAATGTTAATATCGAGAAAAAGAGCTAGCAGAACCAACAAGGAACTTAAAAATAAAAAGTGCATTCTAGATTTATTATGTTGTAATCGCGTATTAACACGCATTTTAAAGAAGTCTATTTTCTCTATTCTACATCTTTCAGATTTCTAGGTTTAGAAAGAAACGCATCAACTTAACTTTCAAAAGTTCGCTATTAAAATAAATAAAAATCTACAAGGTTAATACTAGAAATCCCACCGGCATAATTTAGACTTCTTCTCTTTTACTCCTTGTAGCTGTTTTGCTTTATAGATGGACATTTGTAATTTCGTGACATTTCTTGATTTATAATTTTACAGTATGTTAAAAATTGAATCATCTATGAAAAATAATGGAATTTATTTACGAGTAGAACACTGAGGCGTCATTTCCATTCTTTGGGAACTGACCCCTCAGCTTCGCTTTAATGTATTTCAACGCGCAAAATTTGAAGTGTCTCCTACATTCCACAGAACATTCCAAAGAAATATAGCACATTCTTTTACTTTGAATTGTTTTTTATTCTTTACAATACATTCAAATTGATAGATCATGAATTCTTTTGTGGAGATACCGCATATTTACAAGTTCCAAAACGGATTTTCTTACCACGTGAATGAATTAGTTGTTGTATACATTTTTTTAATGTGTATAGTAGAGAGAAGTGTTCCAGTTACGAAGAGTCGTTTCGTGAACAGAGCATTTCGTAATCTAGATTATAATGCTATCAGACGTAGCTATATGGTGTTTTCTGAGTCAATCTGGTTTCATTACTATAGAATTGAGAAGATATTTGACATCTGCGAAGAAATCAGTCACCTTCTTCGACTACTCATTTCACTTAAATAACTGGCGTATGAAATCATTTAACTTCCGAACAATAGACGTAGGTGCGAGGAAGAAATTTCAATCGCAGGTATTGATACATTCAAAGTCACAGTTAGTGGCATAAAAACCGGACTCTTTCAGGGTATAATTGTTGCTTATCGTTGATGGTCACAAGAAATGTGCGATTCAATTGCGTGTTTCCATATGTTAAGCCGTGGAATAAATTCAGTAACTTGAAATGTAAATACAGATAAAAACTGATCAAGAATTGAGACTTGTGGGTAGAATTACGGGGTCAACTTTCGTTCAGAATTCCTCCAAATATAATATAAGTAATACAGCTAGTGTAAAGAAAAGAAAATATATAAAATAAAGTCTGTGATAATTGCGAATCAGCAATAGTTTACGAAAAGTTTAGTGCAATGGAAAGCTACTTTGCTGCCACGCTTGAAAATTGTATCATTTAAAATTAAACATTCATAATAATCTTATATTAATATTACAGGAACAAAATTCATTTATAATAGTACACTTTTCAGAATATTTTTACCGATTACCTGAACATTGCGGTTAAGATGTTCCTTTCACATCCATCCGGGAGGATAATGACGTCAAAACAAGTTTGATATAGTAAATTTAAGTTGTTGCATATTAAATCTAATGCATATAAGAAATGATCGTTCTGAATAGAGTTCTAACGACCGGAATAATATTTTTGGAGCATCATTTAAAAAAAAATGAATTGTTCAAGGCTCTGGTTCAAAATAAACACCGCTGGGCGGTCTATGGGATACTGGGAATCCAGATAAAGATTTGTGGTAGTAGCAGATATCTTGTGGTAATCCATAATGTCAGAAAGGAAATAATCGTTCACAATAAAGGATTATAATTGTATTAATTATTATATTCCCAGAGTTAACTTCTGAGAAAACAATTTTCTCATCTTCAGTGGGTCTCTAGTAAAGAGACAACTAAATTATGTGAAAATATTAATAAATCATATGAAATAAATAATAAATCAATAAAATTAAAAATACTTTCTATCCAAGCGAAGCCAGGTATCTCAGTATTAAGAAAATGTTAAAATTAATCTTAATTAAAAAAGTGTAATAGAAGCGCGAATCTTAAAAAGAAGAAAACAAATGGAAAGAAGCAATATAAGAGTATAACAGAAGTACAGAACCTAGAAACCGACAGCGCATAAATTACCTCATTAGTTTCGATCACATAAATTACCATTCATTTTAAAACGCAATACTGATATAATTTCAAATAAGACGTCATTAAAATATGTGTAATAAAACAGCTCTCAATATCATCATTGAAAGCTGATCATTCAAAGGTGACTGTTAAATACTTATTTGAGAATTTTCTTGTTATTTTAACACGAATTGTAAATTCTTCTTATAACTGTAATTATTGTTTGAGCTACCATTCAATATAAAATGAAAAAAAATCACCTTTTTGATTGTAGCCGAATCAATGCGTATAACATTGTTTCAGTAAATTCGTAAAAACTGTCATGCGCATTAATCTACATCGACGCCTTTTCAAGAACATGCTTCGATCATTGCCTTCAATTGCATAATGTTTTTACCGGAACCTATAATTTTGGAAGCTAGTATCTCTATTATAATTCAGATTCTCAGAAATATCGTGAAATTCACTTAATTAAAATTTCCATAACTAACGGGATTGATAAAACATTTCACTATTAGTTTTCGCATGAAAATCCTTAAATTGCGAAAATTCCATACTTCATTAACGCGTCTTTCATACTTGCATTTTACTAGACACAAAAATTTTATTACTTCAGATTTTCAAAGAAAAAAATTTAAGCTTTAAACTAACAAAATTTTGTAGTAATAATTAAAAATATAGATAAAACGTAGTTCTAAGAGAGTGTCAATGGCGTGAGAAGTGTCACCACCACTTTTATCTGCTATACTACCTTATATGAATTTAAATTACTTTTTTAATACTTTTGCCTAACTTTTAACACTGTTCACCTTGAAATATCAATTCCGTGTTGCCATTAAATGTAGTTTTTGAACTTACCTAGTCATAATGTTGAGTAATTATGCAATTTGCTTAACAAAATTCATGATTTATATATTTTATTTACGATTATTTTTATTTATGTATTTTCATTTATTTATTTATTCATTTATTTATTGATTCTTTATATTCACTTTTTATTCACAGGAGCCTTTCA